TACTACTTCCTAATTTATTTTCTAAAAGTACAAGTTTCAAGAAAAGACATAAAAATGTGTTGCTTAAAAATTAATGATTAAAGTTTTTTCTTCACCTAAGCAGGCAACTTAGATATAAAATAAATGGCTGTAACAAAGACAGGCCATGTGGCTTATGACATGGGGTTTTATTCATTAAAGTCTCAATTTTTCTGATAATTATAGATTCACATGCAGTTGTAAGAAATAATACAGTGGACCTGTGTCTCCTTATCTAGTTTCTACAAATGGGAACATTTTACAAAACTATAGTACAATAACAGTTGTGTTTTTAAACTGATATTCTCCAGGTTGCCTATCAATACTACCCACTCTAATATTAGCAATCTCCCCTTTATTTTTTCTTTTTTTGTTTTTTAAATATATTTTTATGATTTCAGAGAGGAAGGGAGAGGGAGAGAGAGATAGAAACATCAATGATGAGAGAGAATCATTGATCGGCTGCTTCCTGCATACCCCCTACTGGGGATCTAGCATGCAACCCTGGCATGTGCCCTTGACTGGAATTGAACTCGGGACCCTTCAGTCCATAGGCCGATGCTCTATCCACTGAGCTAAACCAGCTAGGGCACAACCTCGCCCTTTAATTTAGACACATGGCACCTTGAACCACACGTGGATGGTCATTCACCTGAACTTATACAATCCGTGCATAACAGACAAAGCAACTGAATCGTCATTTCCCTAAAATATTGGAAAATTTATGAACTCACTTGACACTTTAAAGTTTACAAAATGAGAAAAGTTTTCAGGTTTGTGCTTATCAAATAAATACAAAGAACAAAGCAGGTTGATCTCTGCACCCAAGTTTCTAAACCACCATATGCTGAAATCTTTCTGGAAAAACAATTCCATTTCCTTGTTCAAAATTGCCTATAAATGGCTGCCACTTTTAAAAAGCCACTCCTATAGAATCATCTTAGATTATTTATGCAATATTGGCCCATCTAGTTCGATGTCATCAATTTCATAGGAATAAGTACTGTTTGGGAAGAAACAAGGATTTCTTTCTACTTCTCAGCGCTGTGCTTCTTCTGAAGTTTCTGAGACTGTTTGTTCTTTTTGGACAGCTGAGTCTAAAATCAGATCAAGCACCGGCACTCGGCACTCGTAGACACGCAACAAGTTGTGGCTCACTCCAGGAAGCCAGCAGAGTGACAGACTGATGGATAATCAGCCCCTGGAAGACCAAGGTCATGAATCAGCTTGCATTGAGTGAACCCTCTACTCGTCTAAAACCTGTCACCGGAGATCCCAAGCTGAAAGCTGTAAGAGGAATGTGTTATCTTTGCTGAAGGCTGTCAAGCATTGCAAGTCAAGTAGAAAACCAGATCAGAGAGCCCAGTGAATTGGCCTTGGCAGGCTTCCAAGATGTGGCGCTGAGGTGGCACTCAGCTCCAAGATCTGATTACACCAAGCTCCCGCCCACCGCATTCAGGTAGTCTGAGGGGTCACTCTCCCATCACAGTTCTCCAAAGGTCACTCCTATGTCAAATACAAAGCAGGACCACTGGTAGAGAAATTCCGAATTGTAACAATAGGCACGCATCTCCATTGGGAGTGTGGAGGGGGTGGCATGAAAAGTTGTGCAGAAATAACATACAAGTTCACATGTTTGTGCTGAACAGCTACTCACATGGGTGAAACAAGGACAGGACAGGGCGGCTTGCTCGAAAAGCACGAACGGGAATTGTTTATGGGGACATTATGAAAAAGTGCCCAGAGCCAGGAATCACTGTGCTGAGTGAGTGGGAAGCAATTCTGTGACCAAATCAGGCCAACCCAAAGCAATCAACCACGGATAATCTCTGACAAATGCTGCTTTGGAAAAAGAAAATAAATCCCAAAAGTTGCACGTGCAGCCAGTTAGGTTAAAAGAAAAAGTAATGCTGTGACCCATAACATGAATGGGACCGAAGGCCTGATGGTGAGGTCACTTTAGCCAGGCAGAAGGGCTTCCGGCAGCCAGGGCTCCTAAAGGGGTAAGAACAAAGGAATCATTGGGAGAGAGAGAGAGAGAGAGAGAGAGAGAGAGAGAGAGAGATGGAGAGGGAAGAAGGGAGGGAGAGTGAGAGCACACATGTCTGTTTTACGGAGTCAGGGTTATAAGAGTTCAGAATTAAGATATGAAGCATATCTTAAGCACCAACAAAAACCTAGGTAGCATTAGGCAGAGATGTATCATAAGATCCCAATGTTTGTTTTCAGCCCAGACTGTGGGGCACAACAAAGTATTCTCTACTACTTCAACCTATAATCCTATCCTATCTAATAAAGAGGGAATATGCTAATTGACCCTCACACCATCTCAAAGATGGCAGTGCCCACAGCCAATAAGAAGGGAATATGCTCATTGACCACCCTGCCCTCAAAGATGGCGGCACCCACAGCCAATAAGGAGGGAATATGCTAGCTGACTGTCACACCCTCAAAGATGGCGGCACTCAGTCCCCTCAGCCCCACCGGGGCGCCTGCCTCTGGAGTCCCCCAGTCCCCTCAACACCCCAGCCATCCAGGGCTGGTCCAAGGCACAGGCAAGCCTCGGATAGCATTTGCCCAGCCAACGCCCGAGACACAGGCAAGCCTCAGATGTTGGCTGCCCAGCCACCCTGGGCCGCCTGAGGCTCAGGTAACCAGGGCTGGCCGAGGCTTGTGCTGACGGCAGTGGCAGCAGCAGAGGTGTGATGGGGCATCACCTTCCCCTGATGGACGGGTCGCCTCCTGACCCTGAGGGTTCCTGGACTGTGAGAGAGGGCAGGCCGGGCTGAGGGACCCCCCCCAGTGCATGAATTTTTATGGACCGGGTCTCTAGTAGTTGTATAATAGTGACTAAGAGGGAGCCTGCTCTTTGCATTAGCAATGGTGAAAATATGATATTTCATATTCACAGAGCCCAAAGCCCAATTCACAGAGGTGGGTAAAAGAAAGCAAGAGAGTCAAATTGCTGGTCTGAGGGATGAGACCACCAAGGGGATGACAAAATGCTCATCTGCATTCTAATGTAATAAGAAACACCAACAAAGCAAAATCTCAAGTAACATAAGAATTAAAAAAAATATATGTTTATATTGATTTTTAAAGAGAGAGGAAGGG